CCTCCTATTCAGTAAGCACTCTAGTCTCAGTGGAAAAGATGAGAAAAAGAAACTATGCAAATTGGAAAGAAAGGTCTTTAATTAGACAACAGGTTAATCTATTTAGAAAGTCTTTAAGAATCCACTGAAAAATCTACTAATAAGTGAATGTAGAAAAACCAAGTAGAAATGAACAATTTCAATTTGAGATTTAAATTTTCCAATAGCACACAAAAGTACTTACACAGAAATCTAACAAAATGTATTAAGACTATGGATGTTGCTGAAACCTATGAAATAGAGATTAAAAATCAAAGAAATTATTAAAAATGGAAATTTTGTTAGGATGTCAATTCTCAGTCTGATCAATGGAATGTGAAAAGTTTGTATTTATTTAGAAGTTGACAAGCTGATTGTAAATTTTATATAGAAAGGTATATAAATTGGAGGACTCACCCCTACCAAATTTGGTGTGGTATTGAAAACAGAGACACCGATCAATGAAAAGGGTAGAAAGCCCAAAAAATAAACCCATGCAAATGCCACATCGTTTGTTTTTTAAAAAAGCTTTATTGAAGTATAATTTACTTCTGATAAAATTCACTTGTTTTAAATGTACAACATGATAATTTTTGTAAACTTAAATATTACCACAATCCAATTTAGAACATTTCTATCACTCAAAAGCTTCATGCCTATTTACACAATTCCCTATTCCCACCCCAGGCACCGATCATTGTACCTTGTCTCTATAGAGTCAACTGATTTCTGATAATGGTGTAAAGGTACATCAATGAAGAACAGTTTTTTTCAAGAAATGGTTCTGTAGCAACAGGATGTCCACATGCAAAAATAAATAAATCTTGACATGTATCTTAACACCACACAAGAACACAGAAAAAATCTTTACGACCTTGGTTTTAGTGATGAGATTGTAGAAAACACACAATTCACTAAAGGCAAAATAAAAAGGACTAAAAAAAAAGATTTTACCGACCTTGGTTTTAGTGATGAGATTTTAGAAAACACACAATTCACTAAAACCAAAATAAAAAGGACTAAAAAAAAAAAAAGATTTTACCATAAGCTTTTGTTCTTAAGTATTGTTAAGAATGGAAAGATACTCCAGATAGGGAGAAAATATTTACAAAACCAATCTGATAGAGAACTTGTATTTAGAACACCAACTCTTAAAACTCAACAATAAAGCTCAATACTTTATGGCTCTCCCTGGTGGTGAAGCAGGTTGAAGCACAGCACTAAGAAGCTAAAGCCACTTCAGTACGAGTTCGATCCCCAGACCCAGAGGTGACCCACATGGCACGGCAGACCTCTCCTGACCTGCCCGCTGCTCCCCTCAGCAGTGTACTTCATCAGTCGGCCTGTTCTGCTCCCCACTCCCCACTCTGGTGAATCCTCTCACCGCCCCTGCACCTCTGGCCTGTATCCCAGTTCTGTATGCATAAATAAATAAATCTTAAAAAAAAACAAACTCAATACTTTAAAAGGGACAACAGGGGCCCTCCCTAGTGGTGCAGCGGGTTAAAGCACAGCACTAAGAAGCTTAAGCCACTTCCGCATGATTTCGATCCCCGCCTGCCCGGGAGGAGATCGAGATCCACATGGCGAGGCAGACCTCTCCTGACCCGCCCGCTGCTCCCCTCAGCAGTGTACTGCGTCCATCTGCCTGTTCTGCTCCCCACTCTGCCTCCAGTGAATCCTCTCACCCTCCGCATCTCTGGCCTGCACCCCAGTTCTATATGAATAAATAAATAAATCTTAAAAGCAAAAAAAAAAAAAAAAAAGGACAACAGGTATGAATATTTCAATGACAGTGAGAAACTCCTGCAACAGGACGCTTATACATTGCTAGCGTGAATCCAAGATGGCATAGTGACTATGAACAGTGTGGCGATTTCTTACTAACAGGGGCCTTCCTGGTGGCATAGGGGTTAAGTCTTGGCTCTGTCTTGAGTTTCAGCTCTGGCCACACACGCGGCACATAAGACCTCTCCTGTCTCCCCACTGCTCCCCTCAGCAGTGTACTTCAGTCCATCTGCCTGTTCTGCTCCCCACTGTCTCTGGCGAAATCTTCTCACCCAGCACCTCTGGTCTATACCCAAGTTTTTGCATGCATAAACCTTTTTAAAATACGTAAACACTGAACAAATGACTCAAATTATATCCAAGCAAAATGAATTCTTCACAACCTGTGCATGAATGTTAAATGATAAACCTTGATATATCCAACAATAAAGTACTTAGCAATAGAAATGAGCTATTGACTCTTCCAACATAACTGAATTTAAAATGCATTTGGGTGTGAAAATGCTGCTGGACATTCTGGAGAAATCGGAAGTATAAAGCTGGAGAGAGGTAAGTGGTTGTCAGGGCGCCATGGAAGCACCCCATGTAGAGGCTGAATCTTGGTGGAACTGCTGTCATGGCACTGAGGTGGTGGCCATGACTACATTTGTCACTGCTCAAAGTGAATTTTACTGTATGCAGAAATCAACTGAGGTGTTAAGAGACCCTGGACAGAACACAATGTGACAAGCGCATCTGTTCTACAAATGAATGATGTAATATCCATGAAGAGAGTAGGGAACAGCTGGATGAGGCTACTTAGGAAAATGGCATTTTGAGAATAAATGATAAGGCTAGAGGCAACAAACAAAATAACAAAATCCCAAACGTACGCTAGTTGGTCAATTTGCTTCTTACAGGGGTACAGACTATTTCCAATCCACTTGCTAAATATCTAGAGCTATATAAACAAATAAAGAGTAGGTAAAAGGAACTGGGCTTCTCAATCTAAGTACAAGAAGCTGTAAGTAACAGTCAAAACTAGAATAAGTCTCAAGAGGTTTCCGCTTGGTTGCTAAGTACTGTTCTCTAAAAAGGGAAACGTGGACTCCATGAGTAAGTAGCTATTTCTAGGGTTAGCACCCAGATAAAAGTTTGTAGGTAAAAGTCTTAAAAAGAAAAAAAAAGCAAAACAGACCCAGACTTGTGAAAAGTGTTCCCAACAGCCACCCTTGAAACAATCTGTGCAATAAAATAACACTGTAACCCAAAGGATAAAATAGCCAGATACCAAATATGAATGACAGAAGGAAATTCTCTTCTAAAAATAAAATTTCACAGACTACCTCCCTTCCCTCGAATGTGGGTTTGACTTAATGATTCACTTTCAGAGTGGGGGAGGGTAAGTGGGAAATAGTAACTTCACAGTGGGAAAGATGGAGCAGACACCACTTTCTCCACAGAAAGACCATCACCAGTAACATGGCATCAGCACTCCGCCGAGAGAGTGAAGAGCACACACCTCTGCGCTACTCATGACAAACCCTAAGCTCAATTCTCATCTTTAGGAAACAGACAAATCCACGTTGAGGGACGCCCCACAACACTATAACCCGCACTCTTCATTGTGTCCATCATGAGCCTAAGAAGCTTTCACAGGCGGGAGGCGACTATGGAAGCATCGATGGTTAAATCCAATGTGGGATCCTGGCCCAGATTCGGGACCAAAAAAAGGACATGCGTAGAAATTTTTTCTTGAAAACCAAAAAAGTCTGAGTTTGGCAAACAGAAGTGCACCAACATTAACATCTGACTCTGATACATGTGTCGTGGCCGACATAAGGCGTTAGCATGAGAAGCTCGGGGGAGGGTACAGGAAACATGGCTGGACCATCTCCACGGCTTTCTGTAAATCTGTTTTTATGAAACAAATGAGCAATTGAAAAAAAAGTACTGGTAACCCACAGCACTGAAACCATGGCTGCACTTCAATTAAGAAAGGGACTTACACATTATACACATTTTAGCAGTAACTTGATCAACACCACAGTTTATTTGTAAACATATTATATGTGTCAATAATCAAATTGACAACAATTATACATTTCATTGTATAATATGATTATACTAGAAACCACTGTACTTGGTTACAGTTTTGGTACTTTAAAATCTTTAAATACAAACTGTCTTTGAAACACTGAACATAAGAGAACCATGAATGGCAGAGAAAACTGAAAATACTGACTTCAAAAAGCCCTACTACTACAAAAAAAAAAAAAGAGAGAGAGAGAGAGAGAGAGAGAGATACAAAAGCATTTGACTTCGTATTTTAGAAAGAATGAAATCAAGGAAAGCAGATGATCATATTTTTAATGACATGAAGTTGCATTTCTTTAGACCCGCTTGAGAAGTTATGTTGTACCGTATTAAACTCTCTGTGCTTTTTGATATTTTTTCTCTTGGTTTCTAAAGAATGTTTGCCATGGTTTAAACTACGTTAAGGGGAGGAGAGGCGCAGGAAGTGGCTCACAGCCAAATGAAAGTATCTTAAAATAGCCAAAAATAAACTGGATAAAATCTTTCATAAATCTTCTTTGGCAGGTAATGAAGTCTACATTTTGAATTTACCTTTTGTGAACCAGATCAACACTCAGTAGGGTTAAGAGCCGGATCTTTACGTGCATTAATGAATGAAAGAGACAAAGTTCATAAAACACAAGCACAGCAGCAGTGTTCGGTTTGCCACCAGCTCTAAAAAAGCAGATTCTCCCTCCTTAAAAGTGTGAGAGCAGCTAGGAATCCGAGTCTTACCTCATTCACAAGCGAAATCAAGAGTTGACTGGATATTTTTTCAGCACTTTTTTAGAATTCATGATCATTGTTAGTTTCTATTCTTTCTCTCAAAGGAAATGTAGCAGCAAACCACTCTCATATTTTAAGTTTCAAATTCATCAACCACTGGGTTCACTGCCAACAACTACAGATATTTGATTCTTTATTATTGTACATGTCAGTACAGTAGGCTGAGACTGTTAATACAGGAATAACTAACTACAGTTAATTCAAACAAAGCAAATGAAGGTGACATTAAAGAGCCCTGATCAAATGAAATAGTTACAACTTTTGGTTGAAAAACTGTAAAAGTTACATACATACCTAACAGCACTAGGAATGTACAATATCAATTATTGGAAAAATAAAGGAGTGATTCACAGTTATAAGAAATTATTTTAATATTAGTATTTTTCTTTTTATAGACAAACATTTATAACATACACTTGGTTTCTACCTCATCTAAGACAAAGTAGAAAACTACATGTTACTGCATGTACCCCCCACAGCACCGAATGTGCCAGATAGCCTGTTCCAAGATACTCGATGCTTTAAGTAGGCCATGGTATTGAATGCACGGCAATGCTAGCTCTTAAGAAAGGCCTATGTTTCCAGATGTTAAATACACAAATATCAATTCTACAAGTAACAAAATTACCAGCAAAAATGCTTAGGTTAAACATTCCCAAATGTTTTAAGTATTTTAGATATAAGTTGTATGACCAGTTGGTTTGGTTACACTTTTAAACTAGCAAACCGTTAGCCTATGAGAAGAGCTAAACTAAACTATAATACTGCACAAACTTCCCAAGGAAGATAACTTGAAAAATCTAAAAAGTGATTCCAATTAATCTAACATTTGAGATACTAAAAGAATCAATGACTCAAGAAATATTTTGAAATTATTCACTTTATCATTTTCTCTAAAATTCTTCATATAAACTTAAGATTCAGACTAAGAATTTGTCTTCAAGTCGGTTTATCACTAAATTGTTTTGATCAGAAGACCGTCTTAATGCCTCTAACATCTAATTCTAACCTAAAATCACAACCCTTGGTTTGAAGACATCAAACTCAATTTCCTAACAATTCATCAGTAAAGTTACTAAACAAAACAAAAAAACAAATCAGGGTGAAACGTGCAGCAGCCACAGCTATGAGAGTGGAAAATAAATTCTATTTTTCCATAAAGGCTGAAAATACAAAGCCCAAAGTGAATGACAACAGAACGCCACGTACAAACAGTTTTTAAAAATAGAATGTTTTCCAAAGCTTCTCATGAGATGTTGATGTATAGTCATATTCCAAGTTAAGACCTTATAAATCAAGGTTAAGTTATGCATAACTATGCTGATTTACATACCTTCAATAATGCTCAACTGATATACATAATTTACAGACATCCACAGGAATTCTTAATGCCCTATCATATCACCTCTCAACACTGGATGTTTATTGTTGCGTAGTTGTGCTACTTTTAGTACCAAGAAGCCACTCAGAGGAAGAGTTCCACCTCTTCCCATGATCCCCTAAGGAATAGGTAACAAAATATAAAATTAAACAAGATTTATGTTTGATAAACTAACATATAAAATTACCACTGCAATATTCAGAGTGACTGCTTATAAACCTAACAGTCACCATTAAGCCTATAAAGTATATCCTCAGTTTTATAAAAGAAATGCAGATTGTCTCAAGGTAAAAAAATACAGTGCAGGCTGCTAAAAAGCTCTTCGTTGCGTTAGGAAGTGCAATCAGGAAAATGCCAGAAGCCTGCGCATGTTCCCCCTCCGACGTCAGTGAGCAGGACTTGCACTGCAGCCGCAGGCGCTCTTTAGTGGCTGGCACTCCGAAGCGAAGGTCAAAAAGAAAAAGGCAGGAAGGGTGAGCAACACATGGCATAACCAAATTATTGCAAATGGAGACTGGCAATACGAAGTGAGGAAGGTGAGTGTCCGCTCCATTCTGACAAAATGCCATCTTTAAATATTAAGTTCTTTGCAGGAAGGGGGACCCCCATATCGGCAGAGGACTGCGAAAGCAAGCTGGAAAAGCTGGCCTCTGTGTGAATGTCCAGTGTCGAAGCACCTTCCTGAAAGGTCAAGAAGCAAAGAGTGCTATTTTAGTTTCAATGTATTCCCAAAACATTTGCTACAGCTAATGAGAAATCCAAAAAATGTGCATGGAATGTAAAGTATTACATATGACGCAAAGATCTACTCAACAAGCCCAAACCGACCAATGACAGGCAGTATGACACCTGCACAAGTGACTAACAAGTAAACCTGTGACAAGGGCTTAAACATAAATAGCAAAATAGGCTATGAGATAATGGGACAAACTGTTTAACTCCCCCAAAATGAAAGATAAATCAGAGACATTCTACAGGGAGGGGTCAGGACAGGGCAAGGAAAAGCATGAGAGACTATGGCGACAGTGCACAGGTGAACTGGTGGCAGGATTCTATGGGGATTGCACCCGAGAGGAACAATGATATGAAAAAAATACATATATAAATAAATGTTTTTAAAAAGAAAAATATAAGTTTACTCCCACACAATCTCGTACATACTAGGCTCTCCAGGAAGGCTGCATTCATTCTTTCAGTTAACAATTACATGGGTCATAGTCTGTGCTAATTAACGTGCATGCACAGATAAGACGCGTTGCTGTTTTTTGTTTTGTTTTTGTTTTTTTTTTAAAGATTTATTTATTTGTGCATACAGAGCTGAGGTACAGGCCAGAGGCTCAGGAGCGGTGAGAGGCTTCACCAGAGGCAGAGTGGGGAGCAGAACAGGCAGATCGACGAAGTACACTGCTGAGGGGAGCAGCAGGCGGGTCAGGAGAGGTCTGCCGCGCCACGTGGTCACCTCCAGGGAAGGTGGGGATCGAACTCATGCGGATGTGGCTTTAGCTTCTCAGTGCTGTGCTTTAACCAGCTGCACCACCAGGGAGGGCCCGCGTTGCTGTTTTTAAGAAACTTAAGTCTTGGTAGGAAAAGCTGCTTGAGCTGCTGAGTTTTAGTATTTTTGCTGAGTGCTGAACAGACTTATGAAACTTTTTTTTTTTTTTAAGATTTATTTATTTGTTCATACAGAACTGGGGTACAGGCCAGAGGCTCAGGGGCGGTGAGAGGCTTCACCAGAGACAGAGTGGGGAGCAGAACAGGCAGATCGACGAAGTACACTGCTGAGGGGAGCAGCAGGCGGGTCAGGAGAGGTCTGCCACGCCACGTGGTCACCTCCGGGGCAGGCGGGAATCGAACTCATGCGGAAGCGGCTTTAGATTCTCAGTGCTATGCTTTAACCCGCTGCGCCACCAGGGAGGGCCCAGACTTATGAAACTTTAAGGAGCAGCACCCCAGCCAGCCCTAGAGCAAGGTGCCCAGCACCCTGTTTCCCCTGCTCCCCACTGAATTCTCACATTTCATTCACCACCAGTTCTGTCAATCTACCTCTGACATGTTCCCCAAAATGGTTTACTCTACTCAATCAGTAAGTGACCACTGCAACCTAGGCAGTCGTCTCAAAGCGGGGAACTCACTGCAAAGTAGGGTATAATGTGAAAATTTTATACATTGATCTATTTACTACTCTACAAAAATTCTATTTCTCTGGGTGTTTTACTATATTATAAAAATTATTGTCAAAATAAATATACATGTAACAAACTTTTTTTGGGGATACATGTCAAACAAAATCTGTTTTGCTTATTGGTTAAAAAAAATGGTGCTCAGCTATCCACAAGTCTCTCACTTGGGCTATTTACAACCGTCTCAGAACTGATCCCACAGCCAGTAAATAATCTTCTAAAAGTGTCCATCAGAAATATCGCTGCCCAATTTTCAAATCTTTAACAGTTCCCCTTCGGACTCAGCATGAAATACAAATCCTGATTACTGATTTCATCATGCTGGATCAGATACTCTGAGAGAGAACTGTAGTCTAAGAGTACAATTACTTTACAATTACTTTAGAATCTCAGATCTAAAGTAGTGTTTCCTTGTGAGGGGTGACGAATGGTCCAGAGCACTGGCTTTTACAAAACCTGATGGCAGCAATGGAGAATGACTGCATTTGTGCCAGCAGACCCTTGAACCAGCACGCTGGGGCATGACCCGTGGCCTGGGTGCAACCCATGCGTGTAAATGACGCACTGGCACAGAGCAGTCCGGCTTTACACCCAGAGACCCAGCCAGTGAAATCATGTATGCATCAGTCAGCTTCCTCAACCTCACATCTCATTCATAAACCAATGTCTATTGCATGTCTTGCTGTTATGGAGACTCAAATCAACCAGGAAATGCTTTGCATACTATAAAGCTATATATAATTACCACATATATTTTTCAGTTTTTGTTACCTGGAATGAGTGAACAAAGTTAAGGACATGTAGAGAGAGTTTTCTACTGGAATGTAGGAGGTCTTGAAGGCTGGGGGGAAACAGGGGAGGGAGAAGCTTAAAACAAACATAATGGCAAATACTAATGCCTAATAAGAGTTTAATTTTAATTTAAACCCATTGATATTTGTATATACATCCTGATTAGCCACATAAAATTTGAAAAAACAATTTCAATGTTTCTTGTTACTGAAATTTCTTCCTTTTTTTTTAGTAAGGAATAATAGTAATAATACATAAAAAACACTATTTTAAGTTGCAACAATATGTCCAAACAAAAGCAAAAGGTTATTGTTAACAAAAAAAAAAGCTTAAGCTGCTAATAAACATGTTAGCTCAAAGAAAAAATTTTAAATAAAATGTAGAAACTTTGAGGGGTGATAGTAATACAAACTTCAAATATCCAAATTAATTTTAAAAACTTGATAAAACACCTTACAAATTTAACATACATCAGCCCACCAAAAAGGAGGATTTTTCAAATATATGAACTGGTAACAATTGTAGCAGCTACTTTCAAAGATGCACAGTATTTACTTTTTATTCATGACATTATTTTATTTTCATTACTTATCAATTAAATGCCACTGATTTTCTAGTATAAGCTACATTATATCAATTAAATGAATTATTCCTTATTCAACTTTGCTTTCCTAAATACAGAAGTCGAGGAGATCTGGGTATTACCTACCCATGCCACAGACCTTGCCAACCAGGGTCTATGACATTCTCCCCTGCTCCCAGCAGCTCATAACTCTCAGAGCACCATCTCTTAGCTGGTGCTCCCAAAGAACCAGAGATGACTTATGAGATAAAGCTTGCACCACATCTCTGATAAGAAACACATGCTCATTATAGAAAATGAAGAAATTTTAGAAACTCAACCATAGTCCCTTCAGCCATAATCCCATCAGGAGGGGCAATCACTGTTAACTCGAGTATGTGTATTTAAAGAGTGCTAAGAGAAATTTTCTACAGCCATTTATAAATTTTTAAAAACCAGCTTATACTTGCATGTAAGCGTGCCCATTTTACCACACGCTTACCAAATCTGGGTTGCCAAATATAATTATAATTAAGCACAATAGCTGCCCAAAATGTTTACATGAGCTCAAATTCTAAGCTACTGAAGTTTTATTTTAAAAATATACACAAGACAGTTACTAAGATCATATGTGTAAGGAAAAGACACAGCAACTACTACTAAGAGCTTCAAAGTCCAGTAGATGAAAAGCCGACAATTGACTCACCTCTCTTTTCTGCAAAGGCCATGTGTAGCGATTTTTCTACAAACTTTCCGGTTTAATTCAGAACTGAACAGTGGAATTCCAAAGCATAGCTCAAGAGGAGCCCAATCGGCTTCTGCTGTGGCAACTACAAGAGAATACACAAACTTACTCATCACACATAAATATTACGCCTCTCCTGACTAACCAGGGTCTCTGCTGATTCTCATAGGCCCCTCCCAGCTCTGCGGACATTCACCATGGGCTTATCAGAGGAGGGAGGGGGTGCAGGGGGTCTGTGAACCTCTGAAACTGAATTTTGTTTTGAATGTACATGTTTCTGGGGAGAAGGTATGCAGCTGTCATCAGATGCTCAAAGTGGCCTTTTACCCAAGAAGGTATTATAAGACATCTATAAAATAAGGATGTGAATCAAAATATTTAATACAGGAAACATGAAATTGAAACCATTCTCAGGTCATATGTCTGTACTACTTTAATGATTACTATAAATAAAAAAAAAATAAAAACGTTTCTTCCAAGATACTTATTAAAAGGTCCACTACAGGTAAGAGCAGGCAAATCAAATCCAAAAAATTTAACAAAAGAACTAAGCCTTAGGAACTAGTCCAAGACTACAAATAACTTTTAATGACTTACCAGAGTTTTGCTTTGCTGAATCCAGAGCTGCTTCCTCAATGACCATTTCAAATGATTCTGTGCTCCCATTCACATCTGAGCCAGAAGCCAAATCAGGGTCTCCTTACAATTAAAAGATATGTGCAACATTAGCATCCTAGTAGCTGGTGTCATTTGTCAATAAATAAGTCCTTTAGGAGAAGACTCCAGGTAATGCCAGGAATGACAAAGGAAAGCAACAGCCTTTAGCCTAAAGCAGGGGCCACTAAGTGAGGGGCAAGTCCCTCCCAGAAAGGACATCTGGTGACATTGCTTGGCGGTCCTGACAGGGGGCAGGGATGCGACTGACAGCCCTACTAAATATTCTACAGTTCACAAGACAGTCCCCACATTGAGAATTACCTAGCTCAGAGTGCTGAGAGTGTGGAGATTGTGAAAACTGGGCCTAAAGGAACAAGAATTCAAATGGCAGAAGATACAAGTTGAGGCAGTCTTTTAGAGCAACACTAAAGTCCTTTCTTTCCCTGTGGAAATATATATTTGACTCTGTCATTCCTCTTCAAATTTCTTTAGTTCCATATCTTTTACCATGTAAGATCCTCCAAGATCATCCAGATCTTAAACTACTTTTCTATTCTTATCTCCCACTGACCAACAAAGATCTTTTCTTTTGGCCCAGATGGATTCTGTATTGCCCAATTCCCTCTGCCTGAAAGTCTCTAATCATCAAAAACAAAACAAACAAAAAACTCATTTTTCCAGACTCAGTTCAAGCTTTACCGGTTCTACAAAGTTTTCTGTGACAGCAGAGTCAGGCCAAGATGTGCCTCCGCTGCCCTGCATTTTAAGCCCTCTGGCAGGGGTGTAATACTTGCTATCTTCCTTGCTAGGATTTTATTCTTTAAAATAAAATCAGATCGTATTAATATACATACCTCTAGCACCTACACAGGTATTCCATTTGTTGGGAGTGACCAAAGATTTACTGACAAGGACTGAATTAGGGCGGTAAGAACTGAGCCTTGCATCCAAGCTTGATAAAGTGGTAGTAAACTGATCTTGAGATCCTGGATGGGACTAGCTGAAGGTGACAGCGAACTGGGCCTCACATCAAGGACACAGCGATGAGTCACCCCTTTGGAATCTGAGTTTAGAATCTATATAAGAGACCCTTCCCCCTTATTGAGGGGGCAGTAGCTGCGGACCCCGCTCTAGGGGCTCTGTCTCTGCTGCTGTCTGGGAGCAATAAACTCTACTTGTTCAGCCTTTCTGCCTCCCGCCTTCCTTTCTTGTGGCCGGTCACAGAAGTTGGGACAAAACACCATTCGTGTGTGGTCTATGACTAAAACAAAACACGACAGCTGTAATAGGTAAGCTTTGAATGGCCACCTAAAAGGCAAGGCCCTCTGGTCTGGAAAGTGCCTCTTCGGTATTTGGAGCCAACTGCGGAAAGTCACTGAATTCCCCTAGCTAAAGGCAAATGGACCAGGATAGCCCACTGGATGCTAGCAAGCAGCCATTTTCTCAGCATTTCAAACTACGAGCTTCAGGGAGTACTCTATCAGTGACACATCTTGAGTTGAAAAGTTTCCTACAGTCAAGGCCCAGGGCTGGTACCATGGCTGGTACCATGGCAGCCAAAACCAGAAAATAAAGTATGCCAGAGCAGAAACAATAAGCATGAGATGGTGACTGAAAAGAAATCTTTTAACTGAAAAGGAAAAGGTATTTAAGGAAAATTGACTTTTGTTAATATGCAGATAGGTGGAAGAAAGAAAAGAGGAAGAGGCTAGGAAGTGGGTGGGATAGCACGAGTCTCAAACAGCAAGACCCAGACTATGTGGCAGCTAGGGGACATTTAAAGAGGAGAGGAAAAGAAACAGAGGAGACATTTCAAAGACTTCTTCTTCATGTGAGCTGGGAACTGGCTAGAGTGAGAAAAGCAAAGGAAGAGACAACAATTCTGGGAGTGGCTGGCTGAGCAAGCAGTGCCTCGGACAAAGACAAACATTAAAGGAAAAGACTTACTAATTCTCTCTGGAAACAATTCTGCAGAGACTCAAGTTTTGAAACTACCAGCCCGTAAAGTAACTTAACCCAAAGGCAGCCACAGGGGTGTGGCAGAGGGCTGACACCCAGCAGCCACCCTCTGCCGCACCACAGCGCCACTTCCTTAGTTACTTCCATCAGCAAGCGGCTGGCATTTGTCCAAATATCAAAGAAGTTTCTCATTCTCAAAACATTAAGTATTAAATGATTCAACACCCCCACAAAGTTCTCTCTGCTTTTTAAATATTAAGATGTGTCAAGCTCAACACCAATTATCTTAATTCAAAGAAAACAATTCTTGGCCAACCTCTCTCGTCAGAAGCGTCACTGAGTTTTCGGTTTGCAAGCTGGCTAGAGGCATTCAACATGGTGACATAGCCACAGAAATGCTGTAGGTCCACCTGGCTCCTTAGCACTTGCAATGCTTTATGAACACCCATGTTGGTTCGAGTAAATTCTAGGAACAAAGAGTGAACATGGTTTAAAAAGTTGTATAACAAAACACAGCAAAAGCTTAAGAATACTTTTATCAAACAATTCTTAGAACTATTCTCATAAGTTAATCTACTGATTGGCTTCAATGAAGAAATATGTGTGAGACAAAATATATTTATAGCCTTCAGGAGCCATTTCTTGAATTCAAACAAATTCTCTGCTACAGGCCAGTCAGCAGCAATTCTCTTGGCTTTTCACTGTTTATTTGGTGGGGCTCAAATTAGAAGTATATTAAATAAAATTTATGAAAAATGAAATTAATTATTCTTATTGAAATTAAAGGTAAGTGTATACTTGGAATCAAAGTCTAATTATAAAATATTTGGTCAAGTTCATATACTTCTGAGATCCTGTATCTTTAGATGGACAAGTTTTTTTTTTCTCCCTATAGAATGCATAAAGTATAAGGATTAAGTAGCAAAGTTTAGTTGGAGAAAAAGTTTACTTCTGAATACAAAGCTATTTTCTGGAAAACTCTTCTCCAAATTCTGTACATTTATTCAGAGCAGCCAAGGAGAGCACCTTCATTTCAAATGTGAAGTTTCTGTAGTCTGGTCACTTGAAGATATTTATTTAAATCTTGCTAAATTACCTCAGCCATTTACTACTCTTTATAAATCCAGACACTGACTACAGGGAAACTGGTTAAGAATGGCAGTTCTGCATGGAGCAGGAAACACAAGAACTACATAAAGTATAGGTAAGTTTAAATCAGATAGCATTTTCCTTTTGAAAATATGTAATTAATGCTCAAAAGAGGAAACCTGCCTTCTATATTAAACAAAAGGATGAGTTTGCTTTTATAGAAATTCTGAGCTCCTGCCATCAGGTGTACTACAGCTAGAGACAGCATTAACTAGGGCTTGTTCCTTGATTCTAACTAGATGAATTAGCTCAAATATGGCAGGAAGTCCACTCAAATCCTCTCCAGGAGCAAACATGTATCTTAACAGAAAAATGAAGGCTGAAACATGAGCTGCCTACAGGTGTTCCCTACGCAGTAAAGTAGTACAAAAAAACATCTTCAATAGCATCCATTTCTCAATTACCTAAGTGTCCCCAAGAAAGAATAGTATGTATCCCTCAGAGGTAAAATTAATTTCACTAGGACTTGTCTTCTCTTCCCACCCCCCAGTAAAATAAACAATGAAAGGAAGCTAAAGACTAAAAACATAAAGAAGCCCAATCTCCCATCTAGACAGAGATAGCTCCTTATCCTCATCATCTCCAACAAGACTATATTCCATCAGAGGATCTAAAGTAAAGCTCTTCTGTTAATTCTTTGTGGGGAAAGGCACACTACAGAAAACTACCCTTTTCCAATTTCTTTAAAAACAGAATGGTAAGACCTCTGAACTCAAAAACTTTAAAACTTTAAAAAAAAATTATTTATGCATACAGAACTGGGGTACAGGCCAGAGGCACAGATGCATTGAGAGGATTCACCAGAGACAGAGAGGGGAGCAGAACAGGCAGAATGGAGAAAGTACACTGCTGAGGGGAGCAGAGGGCGGGTCAGGAGAGGTCTGCTGAGCCATGTGGGTCACCTCCAGGGCGAGGATCAAACTCATGCTGAGGTGGCTTTAGCTTCTTAGTGCTGTGCTTTAACCCGCACCACCAGGGAGGGCCCTGAACTCAAAAACTTTTAAGAATTTACTCCCTGCTAATGTTTTCCACCAATTTGTTTACAAAGATTAACAATAAATAAGTCACATGCATATGATTCAAAGGTGAGGTACCTCCTTGTAGTTCTGTTTCATCAAATGGAAATGGCACGTGGACGGTTTCTCCTATCCCATGTAACCCATGTCCCTAAATAAGAAGACACACAAATTGAAAAGTATACGAGAAACGTACATTTCCAATAATATTCCAATCACACTGCCATTTGAAGGTATATAAGCTTTCAATAGTTTCCCATTTTCGCCAGCAAGTAAAGACAATCTTTCCTGAATATTAATTTCTAAAAAATATGTCTCAAATTGAGTATATGGGGCTAATGAAAAGAGACTGATTAACAGGTCAAGAATTGCTGGCCAAGTGAAGGCTGAATGACAGCGAGTGAACTCCCACAGGGAGAAGTTCTAACAGAGAAAGTGGTGGAAGAATCTCTATAACCCCAGGCATACCATGGACAAAGAATGCAGAACTCAAGAACCTGCATTGAAATGACATGTTCAAAATTATTTGATGTGACATTATCATTATGTATAATTGAGAACCAAAAAGTCAACCAATAGGGGAAGTCCATCTTGCCAGTACAGACACAAAAAGCAGCAGCAGCTCTCTATAAACTGAAATGGAAAGATCTCCAAATGCTAAGTGGAAAAAGCAAGGAGCAATCAGTGTGTAAATGTTTGCATATGCATAAAAACTACAGAAATGTATAGTAGAAACTGGTAAATGTGGTTATCTGATTTGGAGGGGAAGTGGGGAATGAGACTTGGGTTGACAGTGTTAGGTGAGCAGCGACCCTTTTCTCTATATATCTTTAATAGTGTTTTATTTTTAATTATGTGAATGTTATTAGAAGTCAAAAAAATTTTAAGTTAATGAGTCCACCTCAATCCCATGTTACAAATAACTTTGTTTCATCCATTAGTCAATTTATAGTTCTGACTTTACAATGGTTTAAGAATAAACATGAGTTCAATTCCATGTTCTGACTTTACAATGGTTTAAGAATAAACATGAGTTCAATTCCATGTTCATGAGTATTTAGTACTATTACAAGAGAAAGTTCAAGTTTTTCTGGAAAGCTGTAGTCTTCCCTCTAAGAAGCTCAGACATTGTTCAAATACAAGAAACCCTAACATAAAAGAAAAACTCATTTCAGAGAAAAAAATCACATCCATTTAGCTGGGTAACAATTTGAACATACTGATACTTCTACTCCATTGATAATTTTTTTATTTAAATCCTTTAACAAGCCGGCTATAATAAAATTATCGTTTTACTCAAAATCTTAATTTTAAATTTTAATTAATTTTACATTTTAAATTTTAGCAGGTGATTATTTTCTGATAAAATGTTTTTTAGCAAAAGCAAAACTTCTTAAAGACCTTAAAAATGGCTCTACCTAAGATTATGTTTTTCTATCTATGATTGTTTGCCATATCAACAAAATAAAATACACTGACAAAAAACCTAACCTGGCTTGACTCACTGGACACCACCTACAGAGCAGACCATGGCAAACTCCCTTTTACAAGAGGAATCCTGCTCTGTACCTTTCCTTTACTGGCTGCCATCAATCTGGAGGAGCAAGTCAAAGCACGACAGCAGGCAGTCAAGGTCCCCGCACGCCAGGGCCTGCTGGGTGTCCAGACTCCTACTTGACTACCAGCCCATAATGCTAAGACTCACCCCTCAAACACTGAACAACTCAGGCCTCAACAGATGTTAGGACTTCAAGCTCATTCAACAAATACTCACTGAGCAATTATTATGATTCAGACACCAGGGAAATAAGAAAAAGGAAAAAGTCCTTCTCTAGAGGTATAACCCTGCTGACCCCTTTGGTTGGGTGCTTTTCTAAATTATCCCTTTATGAGAAGCCCAGATCTCACTTTCTCTAAGGAATTTTTCTAAGACCTTCTTGCTCTAAGGCTGGGTTGGGTGCTGCTCCTTAAAGTTATGTAAGTCTATTCAGCACTATACTAAAACTCACAGCTTCAGCAGCTTTTCCTACCAGACTTTCTTAAAAACAGTTAACACGTCTCATCTGTGCATGCACATTAGTTAGCAAGGACTATGCGCCATGTAATTGTTAACTGAAAGAATGAATGCGGCCTTTATGGAGAGCCTAGTATGCACCAGAAAGCATGCTGTGCGTTTCACATATTCTTAGTTCATTCTACAATCCTATGACTTACCTATGGCTTATCTCACCATTAGCTGTTGCTATTATTAATTTTTGGTTATTATACAACATATAGTGTCATCTGCATTTTAGAGATGTGTAACTAAGAAAATGAGGACTAGCTCCAAACTGTCACACTGCCCAGGTAGCAAGAAAGGTTCAACACTAGTAGTCATCAGAAAAATAACAAATAAAACCCAAGGAGTATCAGTTTCCATCTTCTAGGTTAGAATCAAAAAGTCAGGTAAGAATGTGGAACGGTACAGCCTCTTTGGAAAATAGCCTGACAGTTCCTTAAATGGTTCAACATAGTGTTACCACGGGGTCTGGCATTTTAACCCTTGGGCATATATATATATACCCACTGGAAATGAAAACACGCTCACATAAAAACCTACATACAATGTGTATAACAGTGATTATTATTATTATTATTATTCACAACAGACAGAAGGTGGAAATAACCCAAATGTCCATTAATAAATACTAGGTCAATCAAATGTGGTGTATTCACACCAAGGAATGTTATTTGGTAATAAACAGGAATGTAGTACTGGTCCACAGTACAATACGATGAATCCAGAAAACACTGTGCTAAGTGAAAAACGTTAGTGACAAAGACCATGTACATGTACATGGAATGCCCAGAATAAGCATTCTAGAGATGGCAAGTAGGCCAGGTTAGTGTACAGTTGGAGGTGAGGAGTGTCAGGGCAATAGAGTACTAGAGGTACAGAGTATCTTTCTGAGACAGTGAAAATGTTCTAAAATTGAGTGTGGTGATGGCTACTGCTATCTGAAATATACTAAAAACCACTGGATTGTGTAATTTAAACTGGTGAATTGTGTATGTGAATTATATCTGAAAAAAGGTATTAAAAAAAATACAGCCGCAAGGGAAGCAGAATACAAGCCCGGGTATGACTTCAATATCCATGTGGCCCTTCCACTCCCACACTGCCAGATGTCCAGACTGAAACCCAGATCCGGCTCCTCACAGCAGCATTACAAATTTCAAATCACTGACTCAGCAGAAAACTGGGCCAATTAGTTTACTACAAAAATCCAAACTCAATTATTTCAGATAAAATAACCATACCTGAATCAAAACTGCAGAATGTGTCAATGCGTCATTCAACATTGTGAGCACATTTGATGTAGGAACTACACCAGGATCGTGACCCCAAGATGTTATTAGTAACCGATCATAGCCCTACAGGAAAGAAGTGAGAAGTAAACTGGCATTTAGAAATAAGAAAAATAAATTTTCCTTACCGGTTTTTATCCATCCCTCTTCCCCAGGAATAATTTCAAACAAATGGACAAAACAGACTACCCAACATACCTGGAATATATCTGGCAGTTTTCGAAGTCTTGTACCTTTGGACAATAAAAGGGACGGTGGTCCTTGGCCAGTCACATGGTAAAGGTACAGTTTAAACCAGACAGAACTGACTTCGGGGATGGCTGGTCCAATATGCTGCAATTATAGAGATGAGCTGTAATATTTACCTAAAGAAGCCAAATTTATGAGTGACCTGGTATAGTCTTAGAAACAGCTAATGGCTTAAATAAATGTTAATTGCTTATGAAAATAAAATCTAAATGTTCCATTCAGGTAGTTTCAGGTTTATAGTGGGATTGAGAAAGCATGTCTTACTATTACATTTAAGAGGTTTCTATATTCTGGAGCTTTGTATCTTGGCTTCAGCCCTCTTTGTGCTTTGCATTGCTCATCTATATTGTGGCCACAAAAAATTTACCTTATAAGCTGTGTCAGCAATAAGTTGTGCAGAACAATGTTGTTGAGATTGTTCAAAAAGGTTTAAAGCAGTTATCTGGCATGTGATAAGGCTCTATACTGAAGTGTTAATTATGACCACTTTTCACAATTTGCATAAAAGGGACTATCTTAAACTCCTGTCCATCTTGCCGTTCATTTAGACAGGTCATGGATTCCTGCTAGGGAGGGTGATAAACACAAATCCACAACTAGCGACTGCTGAGTGGGTAGGAGGGCTGCTGTGCTCACTGAAGCATCTGGAGCAGGACTATTCAGCCCTGAACAGCACCTCTTCCTTTTGTCTATACCATTAAACCTTGTGCATCTAGGCAAGACCACACTGGAGAACAGCAAAAGCCATTCTCTCTGTGAATGGCTAAGCCCCACAACATCCTCGCTAAGAATACAGACAGACACAACTGATGGAGTTTTTTCAGCAGAAAAATGTAAAGGTGGAGTTTGACCTTCCAAGCACAATCTTCTCTTCAGCTTATTTAACATCATGGCCCACTTCTAAAACATGGCATGCTTTTTAAATAATCTTATCCCTCAGATGATCCAGGCTTCCTTCTTAGCACACTCAAAATGCTCCTTTTGTAAGATACATGTAAGGAGTGTCACAAGTCACCAGATGATACATTAAAAAAAAAAATGTACCAAGTATATCACAAAAACTATACAGAACAACTTTCAACAGTGTAGAATAGAAAAGTGCTTATGAGTCAGTGACTTCAATTCTTGGCATCTACAAACTGAAAATAACAGTAAAACTGCTGAAACTCTCCTGCAGGCCGCGTGAGCATGGAGAGATGACAGCCTAGGAGACCTCGAGTGAGCATTCACCTGAGGGGTGCAGCTGCTGACAGGCCGGATCTCGTTGGTGAGAGGAGCCATAGAAACAAGTAGTGTGTAGTTTTTGTTGAGCACTCTGCTGCAAGTTGCAGGGTCCAAACCAAGAAGGCTTTCACAGCGCAAAAGATCCAGAGGGAAGCCTGAATTATGATCAATCATACACAAGAGAATGAAAGACTAATGAGAAACAAAAAGGTATAAATAAAATATTGATAATTGCCTTGAGATTTCAAAATTTTTATCAGAGCATCTCCATTAAAACGTACCTAATTTCTGAGGAGACTACGACACTTTCAAATTTAAAGCTTAAAGTCTTTATTTTCTGGTCTAGAAAGATAACTAAGGGTGATACTGCTTCCAGCTATCTTTCAGTTTAAAAAAATGTGTTTGCTTGACCTTGTTCCTGCCTCCCAGTCCCTCAAGGGCAGTGGCATGTTATGAAAGCCTAATTGGCACAGGAAAGCTGTGTCCTCCCTCCCCCACATTCCAATCTCTACATAAAGAACTTTCCAGCCAAGGTCTGAATTTAGCATGCAGGCAAGCGGTCCTCATTTAGAAGTAAATGCCCTAAACTGGAGGCCCACAAAGCATAAGCTCACTCAGCCTTGCAACAGATTTTAAGTGTTCCCATTCTAAATCCATTTGGAAAAGACTGATCCTTTTGCTCTCAAAAAAAGGGACATTTAATGTTGAAAGAACTTCTGAAAACTGTGTTAGTCCTCTCCCCCTTCAAACATGAGTGAATCTAAAGAAATATATAGCTGATTATTTGCAGTGGCTAACAGGGTCCAGAAGCACTGAGCACAACTAGTGCCAGGATGTCGGTCTGGGTTATCATTCACTGTAAAGAAATCGGCCTCCAAAGACAGTGATTCTGACTGTGGTAGTAGGATAACAGAGTTTTTGTCAGAGAGTAAGAAATTACTCCCCCCATCAAAAGCAAATTTTTTTTACAGATGAAGGCATGATACAAGGAGAGGGGAATTCAGTTTATAGGAATTCCCACTAGCAAAATCTGAGGGAAATGTAGCATAAAAATAACTGACACAGTAATTGCAAACCACTGAAAAGAGAATTCATACTGAGGCTATAAAAGAATGCCTCGTCCAGTTCATTAGGGGAAGTAATGAACTTTCAACATCACTGTAAAGAATGGTTCCGGTGAGAATCACTGCTGAATCGAGGAGGAGAGACTGACGAGCAGGACATCTGCCTGGATATTACACGATAGTGTGTGCACTGTGAGGAGGCAGGGGGTAGTTACCTACACAGCAGAGAAGCCACACAACCCATTTGTTGGGTGATTAGAGTTAATATCACCAATGGGTACACAGATGAAAGCCTGTGCCTCTAGATGTCACGCCTTTGGTCACGTAGTATTCTAGAATACTCGTACAGGAGATGAGAAAATTTCCAATAAAACATAAAGATGCAATATACTTAAAAAATAAGGAATGCCACAGAAGATGGAAGAGGTTACAGACTTGTTACAGAATACAGAGGTAAGACAGCTAAATGCAAAAGCTGATGTCGTTCTTTTCAATTTCTCATGTGACATCTCCTAAATTTTCTTTTTTGTTCTATAAACCATTTTAATTTTTCCTCCACTGTAACTACTTGTGCCTGTATCTCTGCAAAAACCTCATCTTAAACAAGATCCTGTACTTGAGGGGGGGAAATATCATTAAGACAATATTGGCCCAACTGGCAAGCTGGCATGAGTGGCAAATTACTGTAGCAACAGTATGTCTTCTGAAGTTGATATAAGAAAACAGCCTATTCCTAAAATATTATTCAGGAGAGAAAAATTTCACAATATGCAACTTACTCCTAAATTCTGGATTAAAATTAATTCTACGATTCTCAGTCTTAAATTTAAGACAATTTTCCCAAGAAAATTTAAAAAGTCAGGAATCTGTGATTTCATGGAGGACTGAGAAAGTGACAGAGGCTTGAAAGAACACGTAGGTCACCTCTGAGAACAGGGGCCAGCAAGGGCACAGAGTCCTGCAAACTGTTGGGCCGGACAGATGGTGGTGCCTGGACTGGACTGCCCAGCTATAGACGAGAGTTTGGTGCCTGCTTGTACTGACCCTAGAAGGGATATCTTTTTAAAGACAGAGATACAGGAGAAAAAGTCATGCTTATAAAGTGAGAACTAATTAGACCACACAGTGCTTTTATCTCTCAGGCTACCCAAAGCCACATTACTACTGGTCCTTTTCACATGTCCTTATAACAATATCATGAGGCTTTTTGCTTTATGGTAACTATCAAGTGACTACTACACTGAGTACTACCACCTACACTCAAACTACTAGTGACATAAAAAGAAAATTCTTTCCTCAAAAAAATAATGCTTAGAACACAAATAATACAGAATACATAAGTGATCACATCTAGCAACTATAGAAAATAACTTTTTTAACAATACCCTAAAGTAGTCTTTGTATAAATAAAACCTTCTTCCTTTTCTATGCATCGAAGACGGCACAATAGTTAGGTACCATCGCTAGAAAAAGTCACTTCGTCACTTTCGGTGGTTTGTGTTTTGATGAGGAAGCGCTCTAATTAAAAAAGGCTGGCTAAAAGAATGAAACATTCACAAACAATGGTGGATTTCTTACGGGGAGAGGTTAATAACAATTTAATCTTGGAGGCACATCATTTATTCCAAGGAATTAAAGTTCCAACTTGTGCCAGAAACAGTCAGCTATTAAATCTACCTTAAAAAGGTCAGAATGGCCCTCCCTGATGGCGCAGCGGGTTAAAGCACTGCACTAAGAAGCTTAAACCCCCTCCGCATGAGTTCGATTCCCGCCTGCCCCGGAGGAGATCCACATGGCGGAGGAGATCCACAAGGCGAGGCAGACCTCTCCTGACCCGCCCACTGCTCCCCTCAGCAGTGTACTTCCTCAATCTGCCTGTTCTGCTCCCTGCTCTGTCTTGGTGAATCCTCTCACCCTCCGCATCTCTGGCCTGTACCCCAGTTTTACATGAATAAATAAATCTTTAAAAAAAAAAAAAGGTCAGAATTATACTTAGTTATTTTTATACAGAATGGGCTTAGAATGACCATTTACCTAACATGATGGTAAGAGATCACTCATGGTGAAAAGGAAACTTTAGTCCAGTCCACTAAGAAAAAGACATTATTTTGAATAAAACACCAGAAAGCTTAGTGTTCAAGAGAAGACAGTGTAAGGGACAGCACAGTGGAAAGCCATTCAAGAGACTAAGACTCAAGCCCCAGCTTTTCAATGTTAGTTTCAATTTCCTACTCTATAAAGTGAGTTTACAGGTACCTGGTTATTCAAATGCTCTTAACACTCTCAGATTCATGATGGCAAGAAAAGACAATATAGTTCAAGACAGCTATAACAGAACATTTCAAATATTCTAACCCTTTATTTCCATGGGTCACTACATAGTCCCAGAAATTCCAGAATTTTTACTTCTAAAGACATCTTCAAAGCTGTACCACTCACTGTTAGACCATTTCAGCTAATATTTGGTAACCAAAAAAGTATTATCAACAAATGGTTATCAAAAAGTGCTGTAGAGCCGTGGCATTTAGTGACTGAGTAGTCTTAGTTTTAACTATTTATGAATACTCTCAAAAACTGTGCCAGTAAGTAACCATCTGCAATTTTGCTGAAGCGTAACTCTGCAGCACATTTATGTTTAGGCTGCAGAAGTGAGTCACTGGGTATTGAAGGTGCTGAACATCACTGAGTGGCAGGAAAGAAAAAGTAAAATAAGGTAAGTAACTGGCATACAGAAATGCCCAAAATAAACCTCTAGTTAGAAATTCAATGTGCTCTCTACACAAAATAGATTAAAGTAAGCAAACATGGTCTGCTTAGTCTCTTAGAAAGAAGTTCCACAGGATCATGATTTCAAAGTCAAGGACACCTGTCACACCGTAGTGGGGCTGGTCTGGCTGTGCAGTTTGAGCAACTAGATCTTTATTATGACGCAGAAATAGTATTGTGTTTCTCAGAGTAAGTGCATGATCGAAATATCTCTGGGCTTCTCCTTCACCAGTGCTCTGAACCTAAACCAAGAGAAAAGAAAGCTTGCATTAAGTACCATCCTTCATGCTACTGGTTCTAATATACAACCATATAGTGTAAATATTGACGCATTTTTAAAAAAATCAGTAGATCAAAATCTTGCCCAAGGAATACTGAAACAAATAATAACCTTAATCTCAGTTACCATTTTACTGTATCTTTGAAGGTAACAGGAATTTTTCCAAGTAAAACTGAAATTAATTCTAGCAGCTGAATAATGCTAAATTATATTACTATACACATTATATGACTCATACATGATTCAAATAGGGTGCTTAAAACTGTAAAGACCTATATTTTGCTTTATCCACAGAAGTACTCCAATCCATGCCACCAATTATGCCTCTATTTCTCATCACCCAGTTACAAAGACACTGGAAAAGAGTCAGTGTGGCATTTCACCACCAATGGGTTCATTCACTGAGTACTGAGACCTTACTATGTGCTGTGACCTGTCTAGGAGGTAAGCAGAGAATGGTAAACAAAGCCCTGTCTTCACGGGACTTATATTTTAATGCATATTATTGTGGCACTAACTCAGTCACCTGTTTAATATGGAAAAACAAACCATCCCAAAACAACATAGAAAATGGACACATCTACAGTGGGAAATAACTAACTAGATTTAATAAGATCAGCCTTCTTAAATAGCTAAGAAGCCATTTTTTAAGATCAAATTTCAGACTAAAAAGAGTTCCCAAGAATGACCATGCAGTTAAAAAATATAGAGAGAATAAATAAAAGAGCAAGAGTGATCTCCCAATTTGTTATACTATTTGCACTTTTACCTGAGGTGAGAAAAACAAAAATCTAGAAAACTGAATTTAAAATAGGCTAGACTGTAACAAAAAGTTAACTAGCAAAAACTGACACAATAAGAACTAGGACTAACAAGATAATAAAAAGTACTGACAGAATAAAAATAAAAAGTAAAAGATCAATTAATAACAATGATTATCTCAAATATACTCCTGCACTAAAAAAAAAAGTTAAAATCCCATGGAGAAGGAACAGTGAAAAAGCAATTGTATCTTTACAATTACAATTGCTATAAAGACATTACAGAATCATCAAAATAGCACAATTAATATAGTCAGTATATCACTTAAGCAAAAGGCACCAAATTTAGGAATCAGGAAACAGATTAAGACACAAACTATTAGCATAAAGAAAGGCAAAGAACAGAATAAAATGCCCGAGAATGAAAAAACACTAAAAAGGACAATCAAAATTTAGAGTGAAGGAAAACCTGCACTATACTCATAGGGGAAAAAAAACAGGACTGAGTCTTCCAGACACTAGAAGGGATCGTGAGAATGAATACAATGATACACAGAGATACTTTTCCCAGATTTAAAATTAATGGAACAGAAACATCAAACTGCTAAAGAGGACATTTCAGAGTCACACCAGAAAAATAAAGGTCTTTTTAGAAAAATGCAACTTAAAAAAAGTTACACAAAGACTAAGATTTCTATACACTACTTCTTCACTGTATCAACTTATACAGACACATATCATTTAAAAACAGTCTTTATTCATACACTCAATGAAGGAATATTCATGTTTAAGTCTACATGATTGCCATAGTATTAAGGTAAGGAAAAAGGTAGACATGAAAAGGGTATACCATAAATATTTCTGTACACTCAACAAAAAGGACCGTGTGATATTTTATTAAGGAGGGTTCCTAATATCCTGACATCCCATAGTAGGCAATCTAGATTTACCTTTTCCAGTTCAACAAGGAAGCTGTCCAAAGATTCATCTGAGAGTTTGCCAACTTCAAACATTGTGACTGCATGACTTTTCAAGTTCTGCAATAAACAAAAGCAAAAAAAAAAAAGTAAAATAAAATACACCCTACTAGCCTATAAGCACCTATTATCAAAGTTCTAATTTCCCCTTTTATGCCAAGTGTAACAGACATGCATCTTCTTTCCAATATATTTAAACTAAAGGATGGGTGAAGTTACTAGATTTCTCTAAGAAACAGAAAATTGGCTGAATTTTCAGGAATAAATCTAGTACTTAGAAAAAGATGTTAAAATATGGAATTATTTTATATTTTACATCTAAATTTTATTTAGCTATTAACGTATTCTCACATTCAAACGTGTTCTATTTTACACTGACTTACTGGTGAAAGATTTCCCATCATTAAGAAAGCAGTAAGAGTTGAATCAAACAGGAATGCAATACGCTTTGTATATCCTGTAGACAAACTCAAACTGCTTATACTGGCTGTGTCAGCTGGAAAAAAAAAAAAACACAATTTAAAATCAAATCAATGAAATTTCATTGCTTATCACTTTGAATGAGAAAGTACAACTTTATTTAATTTACAGAAAGTAAATAATTAAATCTGCGCAGTGCTGTAACAGTCATAAGAGGCCTGAGTCCTATATAACCAACAGAACAAATTTAAAGGAAAAAAAAATGTTGAGGCAAATTCACCTCTAGTAAATTTCCTGTAAACCAGGACTTGATAACATCAGATTAGCAAGAATAACTAGCCTAACCTCCTCAGACAAGCCACCTGGCTCAGGTAACAACAGATCCACTGGGAGAAGCTGTGCTCCTTTCCCACGTCACCAGGAACCACAGGCTCCAGCCACCCACCGTGCGCTCTGCTTTGCCCTCTTTACGCGAAGCCCAGGCTAAGGCCCTCCCTTGCTCACCAGCTGGCCAGCTCTCACTCATTCATTCCCCATGAAGGCTTTCCAAACCTCCCCAAGCAGTAAAGGGGTGCTTCACTTTGCTCCCCACAAGCACCAGAACACTTCTCACACTGCCGTGGTTCCTGTTTACACTGCCTATGCTCTCTCTAAATGCAGCTTTCAGAAGTAGCACAATCTTGTCAATTTAGCATCCATGCCCAACACATGAGTTAAGGACTCATGGACTCAATGCAATCTAGCACACCATGCTAAACCCACACTGTAAGTCTGGCAGGGTGCCTGCGTACACACACCTCTACAGACAGACGTTACATGACACTGAGTCACTGCTAACCTGGGTCTTCTTGGCTGTTTGTGTCAGTGTCGGTGGCTGACGATGCCTCCTGCACAGGACTCCTACTTTCCCCGCCATCCCATGACAGCAGCATCTTCTGTGGATCTAAGGTACTCCTATTAATGAAGAAATCATTCATTTTTTAAAACCACATAAGTGATCCTATGTAAAATTAGCTATTGAAGTCACACTAAAATTAAACCTCCATCTAAATCCTGTCTTATATTCACACCCAAAATTGAGTTGAAACCCAAAAATTCTTTGCACAAGTGTTCTTCACCAAGACACATGGGCAGGCTTCAGGTAATTCGAGAAGCCTTTAAGTTTATGTAAAATATTGTATGTGCTTTCTTCTGGGGGGTGAACTCTTAGTTTTTATCAGATTCTAAAAATGATTTATTATACACAAAAGATTAAAAGTGACTCGTATAAAATTCACCTAAACTTTAGGAAGTAAAGTTTCTGTATGAAAAACCAAATGCCTATTTCAAAAAGAAACTCTAACAATTTATACTTAATAAATGAGTTACTTTAATCTGTTTACAGATGGAACATTCCTCCATGATGAATGAAGTTGATCCAAATTTATTACTTGTCCTTTCTTATGGGCAAAGCCCAATCGGCAATACATCGAAACAGCATTCTGAAAGGAATAATGAGGACATGAGGATCACCTCTGCCAGATAAGAGTGTTACACTATGCTAACAGTGCTGCTCAAATATTTTCACCCCATAACTAAAGAAAACAATTTTTAGTAGGCTGGTTCTTGCCCTAGGGTCTTCACATATAGGAGAAGGGGAGCTCTGAATTCTCAGGGGCCTTCATCACAAGACATTGATCAGCCCACTTCCCACTCCACACAGGAGTGTCTGGGTGCCCTTTTATTCCCTGTGTGGAAGTCAGCTTCAAGGTTCTTATCGTGCTCCTGCCTATCTCTGCAAATGCCCCTTCACTGAACACACTTCCTCTGACAGCTAGTAAGAATCTCGACATTTCTGTTTCTCAAAAACCTATCAAGACAAAACTCTGTACTAAAACACACTCAGTATTTACAATAGAGTGTAAAAAGAACCTACCTTAACCAGGGATAAGTCTATCTCAAGGACATTTGCAAGCTATAAAAGAAAATATAATTTTACATTCTTAGAATTACCAGTATATTACACATTTGTAATTGACTCTTTAACCATAATCAGCAATATTTTAAATTATGAATTGAAGAATGAATAATATTGAAAATCAGAACTTCTTTCCTTCCATAGTTCCAGGTAACCATAACAATTTAAGATTCCTTGATTCTTTAACCTTCATTTAAAATAAGAAAATTCCTAGATTAATCATCTATAATCCTTTCACTATAAAGCTATATAAAAAGCTAATTATCAATTATAAATTAACTAAAAAATATTTAATATATGTATTTTGAAAGTGACTTAAGAATATCATAGCCTGACCAACCCGTGTGTAGCTTTTAAAAACACCTTAATTAATTTTACCTACTACTTTCTACACTTATAATACTGAGTTAAATTATTTTATTAGATGTTGCCATACTTACCTCTGCAACATTAGTATGTTCATCTATTGAAACAAATATCTTATAGAGTAGAGTTTCAAAATAATCACCTTGCACTCGATTCATGACAAAACCTTCAAGAGGAGGAACTAAAATAAACAAAACAGACTTCCCTCAGTGAAATAATTTCATAAGACAAGAAAGTATCATTCAAATGTCAATTCAAAAAAAGAAAATACTTTCACTTAAGGACAGAATTCGGCTTTTGATTTATTTTAACTATACCGAAGCACTTTTTCTAAAACTCTCAACGTTAAGACTACGTACAACCTTGTCTACAGAGCGAGGTCTCTGCTAGTATGGCACAATCCTAAAAATATTTCAATCCCCATGAACCTGCCAGAACTACCAATGCTGAGAAAGTGCTGAAAACACAAACTTGGTTAGAAAATCAAGGGGACTGAGACCTCTTCCTAATGGGGAGCCTGCAAAAAGTGCTTTTGACGGCCATGAGCAGGAAAGATGACTGAGCTACATGAAAACTTAAAGCACGACAAGGGAAGTCAGGAAGCAGGCAGGTGGAAAGTATTCACTCTCTGCCTTTTCCCCAATTCATCCAACTTTGTCCTTGTTTTCCAGCAATCACTGCTAAAATGTGACCTGGAGGCTTTCTATTCTGTATCTTCTTTAGTGGCCTCAACAGCAAAAGGACAAAACTTTCTTCAGCAGAGGGGAACACCCAAGTTCTGCTCCCCACTTGATACTTGAAAGTTAATCATACTCACTTCTCTCCATCTCTTTGGTCCAGATGCTCTAAAGTGTTTACTAGCAAGCTCTACCCAGTCCATAATACAGAGGCATTGATGTTTCCCTGCACATGTTCCCTGAAAACATCCTGAGAAGGAATGCCCAGGCCATAGCTGCATCCCCCAGCCCTTATACCATCTAACTGCACCCAAAACCTGACAGCTGCCAACAGAAAGAAAAAGACACAGTTCAACTGGTTAAAATGATAATACTGAGAAAAGCTGCATGTACACTTAGGATAGGATATTCACTTCACAGATCTGATTTATGTTATCTACTACCTATATTCCAGTCATCCAAGAATTTGTTAAGGATCAAAAGTTACATTTTAGAAACTGCCAGGTACTTACATATACTATTTCATTTACTCCTCCTAACCCCATGAATTGTTCAATACTGTACCCCTACTTTAGAGATGAAGAAACCAAGGTACTATAAGGTCACAAATACACAATTTACATGCAGGCAAAAAGAATGAGGCAAATCTGCGAGAAAAGATATATGAAATAGCATATACTGTGCATTCAGCTAAAAAATAAAGTCTAAACTAAACTAGCTGCGTGAAAATAAAATCACACACAAAAAGAATACACATATGCCTATGTGCACAGTATACCTTTGGAAGGATGTACAAATCATTTAACAGTGACTGCTAAGAGACAAACTGGGTGGCCAGGGAAGGGGCAGAGATGCAGTCTTGCATTATACGTGTCTAGAAATTTAGAATTTTACATCATACAATGTTATTCAATAAATATTAACAAAAATAAACATAAAGAAAAATATCTAGGAATAGTAAAAAAAGCTACATATATAAAGACTTACAAGGAAAGACAATATTAAAGATTACTTGAAGTCACTGTAATTAAAATAATATGGTAGAAGAATAAATTAAAGAAAAAAGGACAGAATTAGATCCAAAGCCACAAATTCAGTGTATGGAAAAGTTACACCACCATTCAGCAGCAGTAAATTATCAATAAAATAGTGGTAGCAGGGCTCTCCCTGGTGGCTCAATGGGTTAAAGCACCGCATTATAAAGCTCTCCAAAGCCACTGCAGCAAGAGTTTGATCCCCAGCCAGAGGTGACCCACATGTCACAGCAGACCTCCGCTGACCCACCCGCTGCTCTCCTCAGCAGTGTACTTTGTCAATCTGCCTGTTCTGCTCCCCACTGTCTCTGGTGAATCCTCTCACTCACACCTCTGACCTGTACCCCAGTTCTGTAAGCATAAATAAATAAATAAATAAAAAGAGTGGAAGCATTTACCAGATGCTACTGGTTAGCCAAATGAGAAACCTTACTTCACATCAGATATGAAAATAAGTCCCAAGTTCCAGATTTTACAGTATACAAGTTTTAAGAATTTTTAGACTACATATCTTAAAAGTATTCTATTCAAGCATAATAGCAACCAAGAAACTATAAAAGGGTTGACATAAATGTACAAGCATAACGTATGACAAACAACATAATGAAGAAATATAACCACAGACTCGTTCATGTTTGTTTTCTTCAAAGAATTTCTCTCCTCCACGTTGTTCCACTATCTGCAATGTTTATCGTTTGTTGGAACACATCTAAAATGTTTCCTGTGAATCACCGCAATGTCTTGTACTGACTGAACTTGATGGCTAAAATGTTATCAAACTGTTTTACTTTCATGGGTTATTCCAATTTGGGGCAGAGCCAAAGATGACTACCAGTAAGTGGCCCTACAAATCTAACCATAGAAAAAACCCCAGTCTATGTTTAAGAATCTTAATTGCATCACAACTATAGCAAAAAAAAAAAAAAAAAAAAAAAACTAGAAACAACCTAAATAACCAGCAGAAGAGGAATCACACAATAAATTGATAGAATCATAAGGTATAACAAGAATTACACAAAGGTTTTAATGTTGATTTAACTTGGGGGGGGTGAGTGAAGGATAAAGGGAGTATGTAAAAATAAACAAAAAAAGACAGCAGTAACATGAGAGAAACCGTCATGTTAAGTGAAAAGGGAAAACATAAAATTCTATGATATTGTTGAATATATGCAAAAACTTAAGCACAGAACAAGACTAAACTAAAGGTGACATAAATTTAAATTAAAAAAATTGGTTTGATTTGAGATTGTGAGAAAATACCCTGGATTTCCATTATTTCAATACACTGTGTACAACAATTAAATATAAGTGTAAAATAAAGAATTTAAATGTTGCATTGTTAAAAAGAAAAAAAGCTCTTTGAAAAACACTAAAGTTATTTGTGTTTAACATATTAGGGAGACATGTAGTACACCCAGCACCTAGAAGTCATTCAAGAAATGCTGAAAAATATCAGCACCTACTCACCTGCTATACAGCTGTCATCAGATATTGGGACATCCAAATAAATAAATCCTTTGTTATATAAACCTACAGAAGCAAAATTATCTTGATTTAGACGAACTTTACATTAATAATATATTTTTAAAAACAATGATTTTTCTATATTCTTATAACTGAACGCTATGTGAAGAAAAAAGTAAAATAGAAAAAAGAATTATATTAAAGTTTTCAAATCGCAGTTCCTTCAAATGCTCTACACTACAATTTTCTTCTTATAAGTCATTTGTATACATTTCTAATGGCTGTGACAAATGACAGCCACACTGGAAAACAAGGAAGTAATGTCACCTTTCAAGCAACTTCAGGCCTTAATAAATATTACTGTTCTTGCCTAATTGATAAAATAAATGCTATTAGTTGTTGATGGTTTAAAACAAGTTTTATGTTCACAGGAGACCTTTTCTACTAACCACTTACTATGTACTACATTGTAATCTAGTGATCCAGAGAGTTGAGGGCCTGCATCGATGATCTGATCAATAGCGCATTTCTCAGGCAAAGTGCATATCTAAGAAAAGCAAAATATTTCCAATTAAGTTCTGTCCACATTAACTAATTCATAAATCTCCTCAGACCTATTCATGTTTAAACCAATGATTTTTGTCATTAGTTGAGTGAACTACGTATTTTTCATTTATCACTCTATAATGCAAACCAAAAAAGCTATGCTTATATAATAAAGTAAGCTGCCAAATATGCTACCAACAGAATTTAAGCGAACAAAATAACTGTAAGTATCAGTATTTGCTGGTACATAATAACTGTTCACTAAAAATATACCACTGATCTATGAGATAATTTGGAAATTCTCAAATCAGAAGTTTACTCAAACCTCAGCGTCATCAGTCGCACCCTAAGTTCACTATCTTAAGAAACATTTCACAGCTTTGTTGGGAAGCTTAGGAAGTTATCTGAAGCAAAAATTTGAAGCCTTTCATTCATTTTATCTCTCCTTTGGAGTAAAACAAAATGCAAACTAAGAAAGTCCACAAACTCACTTACATTCCTTCAACCACAGAGATAAGATCTGGTCTCTAGCTCCTCTCACTCAACCCAATTCCTCTAAGTCAACCTCTCTCCTGGAAGGAATAAGCTTTTATCAAATGTGGTCTGGTAACAAAGAATATCATTTCCCTTAATCTTGACACTACCCCCAGTCAAAACACCTCCCTCTCAGTCTAGCACTTCAGCACAGAGCAAGCAGCCTGGTTTTTCAATGCCTGGTCCTTAGCTACCATGACAACGTGAGTCCTTACTTTGCTTCTTTGTGCTCAGTCTCCTCATATATGAAAATATATGCCTCCGAGACTGTTACAAGACTAAAGTGAGACAATTTGAAAAGAGCTTAGAAGAGCACCTGACACATTTCGCACACAGCAAATGGTCAAAGGTGTCAGCTGATGTTGGAAGCTGTACATCACATCACTTTACCTAAAACTTTTATCTAAAGTCCTCAGATTTTAATGAATCAAATCAAGTTTTCGTCATTATTAGAGCAATTCTGAAATTCACCAATACTCTACATAGGTCACTGAAATTTCTGAATATAATTTGCTTTGAGAAAACCAATTTGTGCTACTTTTAAAAATTGTTAAATTCTAAGGTTTTTTTTTTAACAATATAAAAGTTCTATGCTTAATTTTTCAGGACATCTACCTTTATGTCATCTTCTGTGATATATCCGGCCTGCACCACCCACCACACCTCTATGGCAATCTCCACTGGTTTTACTGGTAGAAGATCACGAGCTGTTTTTCTTCTGAAAAATTTCTGCAATGGTGCAAACACAGAATGTGCAATCAAACTAATTATTTCTTTTTTATCAATCATAAGATTCCTGATAACAAGCACAATAAATAACTTTTTAACTCTTCCTGTTTTAAAATAGTAAGTAAGATAATTGAATGGAGACAGTCACTCTCAAATTATTTCAAAATAAATTGCTTCGAAAACTAATCACTAACCTGGATCTAAACCCAGAAATTCAAATAAAAACCAGAAGGCAAATGCATTTGGAAAATATGCTACCCATTATTAAGTGAACTCTGGGAGTGGAATAAGCACAAAAGGAAAACAGAGCAGCATAACTAATTTGTAAAAATAAATGCTTTGTGTGCCAAGTTTTCAATTCAATAATCATTTACGCGCTAACTTAGAAATACTGAGTTGTTTTTGTATTGTTTCTACATTAAGCATATTTTATGTAATTAAAATCATTATTATTTCTACTTTAAAAAGTTAATCCAGGGCCCTCCCTGACAGCGTAGCGGGTTAAAGTGCAGCACTGCACGCTGGCAGCAGCCGACTTAGTGCCAGTTTGATCCCTCCCCGTAGGTGACCCACAATGCACAGCTGGCCTGCCCACTGCTCTCCTCAGCAGTGTACTTCATCGATCTGCCTGTTCTGGTCCCCACTCTGTCTCTGGTGAATCCTTTCACCACCCCTGCACTCTGGCTTGTACCCCAGTCTTGTATGAATAAATAAGTAAATCTTAAAAGAAAAAAAAAAGTTAATCCAGCTGTCTGATAAGGAGAACAAGAAATTAGGAAAAAAGGGGAAGCAACCTACTTTTGATGACCTACACTGATTCATCAGATCAATGTACTGGTTTCTTCCTATGCCAAGAAGTCTCAGACCTGAAAGAAAGAATCTTTCCTTTAAAAACATTTAATATATTCTGAAATGTCAGTATATTGACAAATCTTCTAGGAAAAATTTTAACCTATGTCTTTTGTGCTTTTGATTACTGATTAGCAATCAATATCAGATTAAAAGGATTTACTCAATCAAAATATAAAAGAAAACCAAACTGAGTCTAGGATTGGAAAAGATGAGTATTAATTTTTGCAACGCCAAATAGGAACATTTTTTTAAAAGCAGAAGTCTTGTTAATTTCAGGAAGTTAAAGTGTACTTCTCAGGAAAAGTTACTAATCCCAAAGAGGACACATTTCCAATATATGCTTCACTAAAATAAACAGAACAAAATACCAGCATATTATGTTAATGGCTGGGATACCATGCTGCAAAAATACTGTGCCAAGTTTTCTTCCCTCAACCAAGTAACAGAAAGAATTTCATTCTCTGAAAATATAGATTAGCTCTATTTTTCTGAATCTACCACTGCAAAACAATTCTTAGATGTTTAGACTAAATTTTACATGTGATTAGTATCACCTGATAAAATTCCCATCATCATGTTGCTTGCTTTTCTCACCTTCCAGGTATTTCAGATTAAAAGCACAGCACAATACTGACAGACACGTGTGCGTGTGTGCACACACGATACTCTGAATGTTAACTCCTTCATCATAATTAAATACTTACAGTCAGCTGCAGTAAAATTGGGTAATGAATCATAACTTTTCTCACTGTTCATAATGTCCTTTAGAAAAGAAAAAATGTAAATGCAATCAATGTCCTTAGATTAAAATGTGTATGAAAATATATATGACTATAGCCAAACAGAGTAACAGTCACGGTTACATGAACACTGAGATCAAAGCCAGGCAACCTAAAGCATGCATGCCGCACTGTGGCACTGACCACAGATCCCGACCTAGGAATAGAAGATCAGGCTTTGGGGTCTGGGTTGCCCACACAGTTGCCCTGTCACCCCTACCCCGTGGAAACTATGCAAGGAATACCTCTATTAGAGCTCAGAGTGCCACCTCTCACACTTCACACCTGCTCCTATCTGAGAGGCCACAACGTAAGACATGAAGCGCCATCAACACGCATCTAACACATGCACTACAAAGACTTCAACCACTCAGTCATCTCTGTTCCTGTGTGTCCTAATCAGCAACAGTGATAAACTCAGTATCCTGTTTTTCCAACCCCTATCTCCAATAATAAATCAAATGTCTACTGTGGGGATAAAACCCATTTTTTAGCCCAGGCTATAGCCACTGCTGTAAGAACAGAAACCAGAGGGCAGCAAGAACCTGGCTGTAACTGATAGCTGGGTATGGGACACAGATATATCCTACTAGCTCCCCTGAGCCTGTGGAAAACACCAAAAAATAATCCAAGAGATGGCAACAAACCTCCTGCCTGCTGCTTAGTTGACACTTCGTTACATTACACCAGCTCTAGGGAGAAAGGACTAGAAGAAATAAGGGCTGCCAGACCTCAAGCTTTACTCTAGTGTTTCCTCCAAAAAAGGGGCGCAGGAGCCCCAAGACTGTAGCAGTGCCTGTGAAGAGAGGGCCTAGGGAGGAAAGCAAAGGGAATAGTGGTAAAGAGACTACATCAGAAAGGGGTTCCCATCTCCTCTAGTCCAGTAGCCCTCAAATATAACTAAACAGCAAGTGGACACCAGATAAACACTGCTGATTTCCACACAAAGTTCAATTAAAAGCAGTACATGACTGGCACTTAAAGTTATTCAATGCAGGACTTAAAAGGCACACCTAAACGTTAATAATTAAGAGAAAACATTAGTAGGTACAACCCTTAATAAACTTCTCTTTTACTGACACAAGAATTATATAACGCTGGATCTATATCACTTACTCTTTCTACAGATAGTGAATAGCTGAGCACCTTAAATTTTCTGAGCTTAATATATTCAGTTCTGTCATGTGCATTTTCAACTTTGGTCATGTATTAAAAACAAGACTCTGTTAACATAAGTGACTAATTACCACTGCCACAGCACAAAGGGTCAACAGTGCCTTCCAGTACTACTGTTTCACTGCGAAACACTGATGATGAAAACTCCTTATGCACGTGCGGCTAAAACAGTTCACTTGTAACTAACAGTCCTTTTGACACTATAAACTCAGAAACTATGTCCACTGACCCCAGAGCCAGTCACCAGCTGCCACGTGTCCCTGACATGCATTCGCTCACGTTTCCCAGAGGTTCACATATCCCATGAGCTTACCTCCATAATCCCGGTGTAATATGAAAATGGTGTTATCCGCAAGCCCTTTACTATAATGTCTGATAAATGGTAGGGGTACAGCATGAGATGATCTCGACTGTACTTTAACAGTTCTTCGTAGTATTTTCGTTCATCTTTCTTGACATGTTTAACTGAAAGATGGAAATATTCCAGTTCTTTTTCTTTTTTCAGTTGCACATAATTATAAATACTTTACAAACCAATACTTTTTTGTAGTTTGTTTACAACTTGCAAATGAGACAATGCAAATTGAAGCAAAGAAAACAATCATACCACATGAAATAGACTTCGCAGATATTGGAAAAATGTATTAATAAGACAGATTAAATAAGGAAACAATTCTTAGCAAAAAGATGTAAGATGTAAGCTAGAGTAGAAATTATCAAATCCCTTTTCATACAACTTTACTAGGTAGTCAAACTAAAGGTAGCTTTCAATAAAGTAAAGGCTCTTTTTAAAAATCATTTGCTGGGGCCCTCACTGGTGGCGCAGTGGGTTACAGCACAGCACTAAGAAGCTAAAGCCACTTCAGCATGAGTTTGATCCCCGCCTGCCCCGAGGAGATCCACATGGCGCGGCAGACCTCTCCTGACCGGCCCGCTGCTCCCCTCAGCAGTGTACTTCATCTATCTGCCTGTTCTGCTCCCCACTCTGACTCTGGTGAATCCTCTCACCGCCCCACACCTCTGGCCTCTACCCCAGATCTATATGAATAAGTAAATAAATCTTAAAAAAAAAAATGTGCTGGTTTTTATTTGTTAGATATAAAATGACCTCTGGCTTCCATGGAATACATATTAATATAAAAATTACCACTAAAATACTGTACTTAAAAAACTGAGTAACATTTGGGTGAAGAGCTAATGGAACAGACTAAGCGAAATAATTTGGCAAAATGCAAACATTTTCTTAAGAAGGGAGTTAAATAAAATGGAACCAACTATGTTTAAAATTTATTCCATTGAAGAAAGAGTTTTCATTAAAGTTATATTATTTGGAAGACGGATGGAGACAAAAACAAAATTCAAAGTAAAATACTATTAAGAACTTTTTTGGCATAATTTCTGACCTCAAGCAAAAAAAGAGAACATTTAAGTGAAGATTAATATTCTATAAGTAAAACAAATTTACAACAGAATTAAAATAATCTTGCCACTATAAATTGTTACTAGGTGGTAACAAATGTCTAGTCTGCACATGGAACAATTTCAATACTATGAAGTGAGTATTTAAAAAGCTATGATGGATTTATGACAATAATAATCAGCAATTGTCAATGTAAAATATTTCTACTTACCTAAGTTATTTCTGTATCGTAACTGATTACGGATACTGTACAGGACAACCTGCTTTTCATATTCTCTCTGTGAATTCCCAAGACTCTAAGAAAAAATTCAAAGCACAGATTTAACAGTCTGCCTTTCTAAAAGGACTTATTGAAATTACCCAAAATATTTAGTACCAAATAAAAGAACAGTCTGAGAGCACAATTTCATTTATGTTAACGAAATCCTAAATCTTGCTTATTACGATTCCCTTCTTGACTGCCTTCAATTTGTGTGGGAAGGATGGATGAAAGGATGGATGCTGGGACCTCCACTTATTTAAATTTTAGAATCATAACTAAGGCAAGAACCCTGTCTGATAATTATTTATAACTAAGAGTTATGACCACTACAAAATAAAGATCTCTGGAGAGTGTACACTTCGAATTTATCTCTAAATGATAAGATTATTTCACTAAAAACATCTTATGGCCTCATGAGAAAACACTTAAACAATTCTAGAATTGTATTTTTTAAAGAACAAAAACTTCCTAGCTGTACATTTCATGTGTTAAGTTCAAAGCTGGGTTCTCAGGAAAGCAAAAAAAAAAATCTGCCTGACTACAGTCCACATTCCAGGTGCATCCACACATATATGAGTACACCACTGTCACCTTCTAGCCCCCAAAATGGCCTTTCCAACATGCTGTGCAATAAAATTAGGCATCTTAGACTCGCAGAAAGATCAAAGGATTCAGCTTATTGTATTTTTTTACCAAAAGTTTGTCAAAGCCAAGACAAATGTCCCTATACAATCTTTACAAGAGAGATGAAGCTACATCTAAATAAGATGGCACCCAACTGCATCCAACTGGCAGGTAGAAGTTTAAGAAAAAGGAACAAGATATGAAGAAATTAAAGATCTTTCTTTCCACAGGTATACTAAATAGCTAATCACAGGTGAAGCCGTAACTCACACAATTGCCAAAATGGATGGACTTAACATTATTTTTCAGATATTTCAACATGATAAGTAGTTGAAGTTCACTGTAGAAAAACTCTACCTTCCTCTATGTACCACCAGAGCCAGTATCAGTATTGAAGATATAATGGAGAGGCAAAATAGCAGGCTTTTTGTAAAACTTTTAAAGGGTTTCCTCCAGATCTACCAACAAATAGCTCTCTTTCTCAAGGAACAAAACACACATATGCACAACCACACAACATACAACTGTACTAAAATTTTAACAATTTCTGAACTTGAGGTTTGTTCTTCTCTTAAATCTCTGAATTTACCCTATCTTATAACCATTTTTTCTCTCTCCAACTTCATTTGGGGCAACTATAGAATTAAAAGTGTAAATGAAGCCACTCATACAAAACAGGATCCTTTAGTTATATTTATATTTGAAAATACAATAAACATCTAAGCCTTTGTGCTAGGGATTAGATAATGAAAGGTAGGGGTTAGTAATACACATGTGTGCACACAAATATCTAAAAAATTACATTTTAGTTGATTTTATTCTTCACTACCCACCTACATAAAATGCAATTCCTTTATTCACAAAAATTGTTTGGCTTCTCTCCCACTCCCACCTCAAATTTCACACCATTTCCATTTTTCAAACACTGCTACTACTACAGGAAGCAACTAAGGAAAAGGGCACTCTACTCTGAAAAAGCGCTGGCTACAGAAACACCCGCCAGGCCTGGCAAATGCAGAGGAGCTGTGTTTAAAAAGCAGCATCGGTGCAGCCTGTGAAAGCCCCCGTGTGCTGTGCATCGGGAGCTCTGCTGCTTCCAACCCTTCTCACAACGTGCACCCACCCTCCTCAAAATACAGTTTTTAAATATTGACCCTTTCTGAATTATACAGGTCATTCCCCTAAAATAAAATAACTATGGATTGTTTTGGACAATGTACACAAGAAAAAAAAATCTCCAAATACTGGCCCTACCACAATTTTAATAGGTTTTCTAAAGCCATAACCACATAAAAATATTTCATCTCATCCATATAAAATTTTAGTTTGAAATACATTTGTTTTTAAAATCCGAGTCACCTCCCAATAACTGTCAGGACTGGGAAATGAGTCATTTCCAAATTAAACTCATCAAGATTATTGGAAACGCTATCAAAGCACTAGTATCCCTAATGCCAAAACACAAACTCTTCCCATACGAGAAATACAGCCAACTTTCAGACTGAACTGTAGCTGTCCCGAAGAAATCTTTGACTGATACCATCATTCACTCACTCCAAAAATAAATACCAGAAACTAACTAAGCCATATCTGCTCATGACACAAAAGCAAAATAAGAACTGTAACCGGTAAATGCAACAATCAAGGGTTAATTCCGTGAGTGAGAAATACAACGGGGAGGCAACAGAGCTGAGGGCCAACTGCTCTGGGTTTAGAGTAGGGAAACCTTGGCGGAGTTAATAGCTGAGATTTAAAACAGAGCTAAAAGTCACCTATAAGAGACAGGTGTAAGAGAAAGGAACAGGTGTGCATTTCAGAACCTGCACCCCAGTGAACTATGAAGAAAGGATGACAGCATCTTATTCTGATGGGAAGAGATCAGCTAGAAAGCTGTTGTACTCCAAAGCAGAGTGTGACATGGGGGAACAGCAACCAGGTTAGAGAAAGTCCATGGAAGAAACTTGCATAAATGAATTTTGCAACACCGTCTACAAGTGGAAGCTTATCCCAAGCTAAAACTGCCATTCTCCTTTCTTACAGAAACAAACAAACACACAATATCACATCTGCAACAAATAACAATAGTAACATTGTTCTGTGATCATTATAATCTTAGGTTTAGAAACACTCTTGCCAAAACTAATCAAGATCAATTATTCATAGTGAACATAATTGAATCATTTCTCTTTCTTCCATTATACTATATTTATTTATTTATTGTGAAAGGAAGAATAGATAATGGAATAATAAAAAAAAAAGTTATTGGTTCTTCCAATAACTTGGGCTATGCCACAAGTTCAGCTTGACAGGTATTCCTTCAGGTTTAGAGGTTTGTTGTTCCAGTTCAGGATATTGATAAATGCCACATAGGCAGACACTTACACCCACGAGTCTAAGTTCCTTAAATTCATCTTTACACTTTGTTATCTGTGGTCTCTTAAAGTAAAAGCATTTTCTCTATCCATGATGCACCACCAGAGCCTTAATTATTCATTCCTAGAACCAAGCCCCCAAGCTCAGAGAGAAGGCAAAGAAAAAATCCTTACAATACCACCACCAAGACCATCCCAAACGTTCCAGATAGACCACACTACCTGGCACCAAAAGAAAACAGAATTTCACTCTCAACCTAATAGAATGGGAGGAGTATGATGGTTAATCAATTCCCAGAAAACCAGGGTCTTCCACAAACCATGATATCAGTGACTTCACACGATTTAATATCACGTGCCATATTATATGTTGCATTGATATATTTGCTTACTGTCTATTTATTTTTTACAAAAATATAAGCTCCACACACACAGGATCTTAATCTTGTTGACTGCAAATTACCACTGTCTAGAATAAGGCATAACGCATTGCAGGCGTTCAGTAGATACTTGTTAAACAACTGGGTAAAACTAACATTCAGACATTTGAGAATCAACTCAGACAAAAACCTCATGCCACTCCCTTGTTGGAACAGCTCAAATAAATCCATCTTGTCTGGAGAATAAAGCTCAAAAAACAAAAAAAAACGGAATCGGCCCTAACTTCAGCCTCATCTACCAACACTCCCAGGTGCTCATATAGTTCCAAACGCCAGTGGTAGCAAGTGGTTCGATACTTTTGAAACATCACCTTTCACCTTCTTCCCCTCCCAGGAAAACCCACATTCCTCTCCCTCTTAAGTAGTATTCGCCCTTTAAGATCCCATTTAAACGTATCCTCTACACATGCTCCACACTCTTGCTAATTTCTTCCCTTCTCTGTGCGCCCACATATACTATAATGGTGAGACGTGTGAACTATTACCCAGGAAGGTATTTATCTGTCACGTCCCTTCACCATCCAGATGTCCTAGAGGTCAAGGGTCGCGCTTTGAATATTTCGCTGGCACCTAGAACGACGCCCAGCTGAACGGGGGCTACGGGCAAAGCGCCAGAGGAATCCGGGGTCACCGTTCCATTTCCCTGAGCCACAGCCCGTGTGGCCCTGTGGCCCCGGAGTCGTCCGCTCCTCACCCCAGGGCAGGGGTGGGTGTTCCCGAGACCCGGACGGGGGAAGGGAGGGGAGTCAGCTCCCGGCACACAGGTGACGGCGGGGCGGGGCCGGTTCCGCGGCCGTACCTGCCTCACGTTGGCCGGCAACTTGCTCCAAGGGTAGTTGTGCCGGATGTGAAACTCCACGTCTATGTTCATGATGCCAGAGCCGGGGCCAGCCGCCACCGCGGCTGCAGAGACGCCTCCCGCCCGCCCGCCCGCTTTCGGCCTGTCAGGTGAGCCCGCGGGAGGCCCCGCGCCTCACACCGCGGCGGGCCCGGCTTGCCCCATGGCCAGGGTTCCCGACAGCTCGGCGCCGTCCGGGCCACGGGGCACAGCAGCAGCGTTGGTTGGCAGTAGGGGCGCCACGGCAGCTCCAAGTTTCTTCCTAGTTTCGGCCCACCGGAAATGGCTTTGGGCCTACGTCACTTCCGCCCGCTGGATTGAGACCCGAGGAACGCGGCCGGAGTCTACTGCGGCGCCCCTCCCCCTACTCTCTGAGGGGCGGGGCTACGAGGTGGGGTCCAGAGAGAGACCTGGGTGGCCGCCCTAGCTCGCGCCCAGGTTTCCCGCCTCCGGTCCCTAGATGGGTTCAGATTAGCGCTTGGGTTTACATTGTCATTGCTGGTTGACCTACTTTCTACAAAAGTGGGTGGCCCAAGAGCAGGTGATTACAGACACTGCGGTTGTGTGTCTGAGAAGCAGTGACTCAGGAAGGGGATGACAGCTAGCTTCAACTAATGGAAGATCTGTGAGCCCCCTGGGACCTTCCATAGCCAACCCACAACCCCTGAACTAGGGCCAGGTGGGCGCGGCCCAGACTTATGAAAGGATTTACAAATCCATTATTTCTCCCAAATTGAGCAAGAAGCCACGTGAAGTGGTAGAGCAAAGTTGGGGATCCTTCATCTTTCCAAGTATGTTCCTGCATTTGTGGAAGGGGAATATTGGGCTCTACTTCTAGGGTTCAGACTCTTAAAATGTTGGGATTTGGAGAGCTGGAATTTCAAACATCTGGTGCTGATAATTGGGGGAGGCTCAAAGGGTGACAAAGACCCTTGCCAACCTTTGTCAAGCATATTCGTAGGTGCTTTCTTCTGCTCCTACAACCACGCCCCACCTCCAAAACATACACACACACACACACACACACACACACATTTCCAGCCCTTTTCAGTTCTAGAAAGGTCGTCTTTGGGGATAGGCTTTTCCGGAATTTGTTACACTATCTTAGGAAACCCACCACCATTGTTACTGCCAGCAACCAGATACAAGTTTAGAATTTTTTAGGGCTTTGAATCCTATATACAGGCCTCATCATCATACTGGTAAAGAGAAATCTGACCAAGAGACATTAATTCAACAAATATTGTTTGCCTGCTATATATTAAGCCCTTACCTTGTGATAGATAGTTATTCATCACACCCTATTGAAATAATTCGAGTTACATCTTGATATTATAGAGGAGGAAATTGCGGCTTGAGAGGGCTGCCTGACTTGCTCCCAAGATCACACAGGTGATAGTGACAGAGAGAAACAAGGGCCCAAGGCTGTCTCATGCCAGAGCTGTGCTTTTAATTCCTTAATTCAGGTTCTCACTCACTGACCTCTTTTGCCTCCTGTTCTAGTTCAGGCAATGTTCATTCAAAATCAACAACATAAGTCCCACCACTAAAATAATTGTAAGTGTAGAAGAATCTATTTTCTTCCAGAGCTTAACTTTGATTTAATGAAAGTTAAAGTCAGCGTAGTTTTTTTTTTTTTAAGATTTATTTATTTATTCATACAGAACTGGGGTACAGGCCAGAGGTGCAGGGAGGTGAGAGGATTCACCAGAGACAGAGTGAGGAGCAGATCTAGGAAGTACGCTGCTGAGGGGAGCAGCGGGAGGGTCAAGAGAGTTCTGCTGTGCCATGTGGATCACCTCCCAGACAGGGAATAGAAATCACACTGAAGTGGCTGCAGTTTGCTTGCAGTGATAAACTTTAACCCGCCGCACCATCAGGAAGGGCCTAAAGTCGGTGTATTTTTAAAGTCCCTGTAAACCATTTGCATAGCCAATTATAGTAATTGGACAAAAGAATACTTGTAAATGCATATTTTTTATCAACAAATATTGAGTATAGTATTAATATGCTAAAGACAACAAGAGCAGACAGAGGGTAGTGGAGGGGAACTTACACCTGATAAATAAGATGGAGATAATTGAAAATGACCATGGTGAATAGAGGTCTAATTTATCAGGCAGCTAAGAAAAGAGGAAATTTAAAGGAGGAAATAATAATGGGTCAAAAGTAAAGACTGAAATAATCATTGCTATAAAGTGAACACAAAGTTGACTGAAAGAGTAATTTATTTAAAAGATTATTCAGAGCAAAATGGAGGTGCTGATCCAGAAAATTTCTCTCTATGCTGGCCCTGACTTCAGGGTTTGGGGGCTTTTTAGTTTATATCGGTCAGATACATACACAGAAAGAGGTCATAGTACAATTTAAAAGGTGAAAATCTAAGCCCCCACTCCCTGGCCAGCAGGCAGATCTGGGAGGCTGGACAGGGCTGCCTCATGGGACAAGGCCATAAAAGCAACCACCATGAGCACAAAACCCCGACCAGCTCCAGAACTGTAAAGCAGAAGCCAGAACATGTTTCTGTGTCAAAGGCCAGCGCCTGAGAACAGACATCCCAGCAGATAACAAGTGCAAACTGAAACCTCAAGTTAGAAAACAGAGTATGAGAGAGAGCCTCAAATCCTCCTTCCTGCAGCCCTCTCCAGTCTCACCTATTGCTTCCCTTAGCAGTGTATTTCAGTAAATCCACCTTTTTTGTTCTCTGTCTCTGGAGAATTCTTTCACTCCCATGACTATGGCCTCATCCCCATATTTGTCACCACTACAAAAGACAGAAAGAATACATAATTTTTTTTTAACGAAGGAAAAATGTCTAGGTAATTTCTAACATTGTTCAGCTAGCTAAGGGAAGTTGGTTTCTAGCAAAGCTGGTAAAAGAAAAGCCATCCTTAACCTCACTGAGTTAATTTAGCCAGAGTGACCTGTGTTTGAGAAGATACAAGGATCAAAGGTGATTTGACTCGTTTTTGCTTATTCAAAATGTATCTTTAGAGACAGTAGGCCCAACCAGGCTCTTACTGCAACTTAAAAATTTGGCAGGGACTCAGTCTCTGAACTTTGTAAGACATTTTCTTCATTTTTCATCCCAGCGTTCCTCATAATGAACAAGGATCATTGTTCTTCTCATGCCAACCCTGAAAGCCGAAGTATAAATTTTCCAACAGAGTAAATAATAGAATTTTCTTTTCTTGGTCCACTTGGCAAGAATCCAAGGCCTTGAGAGCAGGAACCCACAGCAACTTGGGCTTGTGAAACTGGAGTGCTAATTAAAGTACAAATACAAATTGCGCCCAAGGTGGCCAGTCTTTGAGAGATTGGAAACAAAGCAGGTGGAGGATTCTTGGTTACCCCAGAGGCTCACTAGCCCCCTCTGCTGGATAGTTCAGGACCAGGCCTGCTCCCTCCAACACCAGGAAGCGGAAAACATCTGCTGTTTGTGATTCACAGGCAGCCTCATTCTTTAGCTCCTGGCTCCATTTTGGTAAACAATAAGGTACATCTTTTTAAATCCTTGACTCAGGTCTCTGCTATTTCTGCTTCAGACATTTGCTTTTCAAATTCCAGAGAGGTCAGAAACTGCAGAGTTAGAAAGCCGGCCCCAGAAGCTGCCATCCAGGTTAACCTTGTGAAGAAACAATCTGATAAAAAATACAAGTGCAGAGGAGATTCCATCTCCTCTGGCTTTACCAGCTCAGACTAAAGAAAATCACCTGACTGGCTCGGGCAATCTGCCCTTCAGCAAGTTTCCAAGACTATTTCATTGCTAAAATTCCAACACATTTAATGAGCTGAAGCAAACTAAATGTATGGAGCTGCCTCTGGTAGTCTAGCTGCACAGACCTTACAGTAGTACCCACTGAGGAGGCTTCCAAAGATGCCTGCTTCCTAGTCCCTGGCGCCTGCGAATGTGTTACTTACCATGGCGAGAGGGATTTAGCAGGTGTGTTTAGTGAAGGATCTTGAGATGGGAAATTCATCCTGGGTTATTCGAGTGTCTCGGTGTCATCACAGGGTCCTCATGGGAGGACAGAGTCAGAGACAGATGAGACATTTAAGCAAGGTCGGAGTGACACAGGGCACTGGGGAGCTTTGTGGAGCCGGAAAAGGAAATGAATTCTCCCCTGGGGCCTCTGAAAGGATCACAGCCCTTCTGATTCATCTCAGATTTCTGATTTACATAACTTCAGGGTAAATTTGTGTGTGTTTAAGCCACTAAATTTGCAGAGATGTGTTGCAGCAGTCATAGAAATGAATATACTCTCCTGAGAATAAAATATGCCAAACAGCTGTTACATCAAATTTCATAATTATGTTATTAGATTTGAAATATAAATATGCATAAGAGGAATAACAACTATTTACCCTTATCATTTTTTGTATACACAAAAATGGCACTTGTTCGTCTGAGATCAAATTTGAAAGAGAAAGGTTGGGTATGGCATTAAGTAAGACTAGGGAAGCAGCAGCAGAGAAGGAAACAGTGTCCAAAAAAAAAGACAGGAAAGGAAATAACTAAACATTTTCTATTTCAGTTTCACCTAGGTGTGACCTTGGCCATGGGTTTCCATACTGTAAGTGTTCTTCTTTGTTCCCAGGAACAATTCATCTCCCCCTGATGCTCAACATATTCCCACCTCACAGCTTTTACCCTTGCTGTATCCTTAGCTGTGAATACCTTTCTCCAGACCTTTGCACCCACTGGCTCTTAGAACAGCCTTCCCCAACTGCTCTGCCTAATCTAGCCACACAACCCCTGCATTACCTTGGTCTATTTCCTCCCTTGCAAGGAATCACTATAACATTGTCCTGTCTGTTTCCTTGTTTGCTGTCTTCCCAAGAAGAACATAATCTCTGTGGAAGAAAGGACCTTATCTATCTCCAGTGTGTAGAAACATAACTTGCGCATAATAGACACTCAATAAAAACCACTGAGTGTATTGAATTAGTGGACTAGTTATATGACATCTGTTCCCAAATGTTGCCTTCTTAGTTAATTATAACACATCTCCAGGCTTCCCCCCCCCCACCTTGCCTACATTATTTCTGATAACATCTAAAGTATTTAATAATTTAGTT